TTTTTTGTGGTGCATTTCAGTGCTTTCCCCACGTATGGAGTTGCTTTTCTATTCCGTCATTGCAGTCTATTCACAAAAGGGTGAAGAGTTTGGAGAAGGCAGGAGAAGTGAACAATCTAGGACAACATCGCTGAACTGGAAAAATTCTCCAATTCAGCTCCCTTTCCAGTTCAGCGATGTTGTCCTAGATTGTTCCCTTCTCCTGCCTTCCCCAAACTCTTCACCCTTTTGTGAATAGACCCCATTGTGTTGTATTTTTATGCTTTCCCGTTAGTTTCACCTTTTTGCTTCTATATTTTTTTACCTTGCTTGCCCTATTTTTTGCGTTTGCAGTGGAACGGAATGCTGACAAAGTTTTGCCACGCATTCGATCACACTGCGAGCGGTGCCACGCCCCCTCCTGCCCCAAAACACGGGGGGAAGTTTCTCAGAGATTGCGGTGCGTTCCAGCAGCTACCGCTTTGGAACGCACACGCTTTCGCTGTGAACAAGCCCGTATTCCTCTACTGATTTTTCTTGTGTTGCCTCCTGTCTTTTCCTCGTCTCGTATTGTCACCTTGAGAGCTTCACCTTTCTGCTTTTGTATCCCTTTTCATTACACCTTTCTTAACCCCTTCGCAAGCAGTGACGTACATATTATGTCATTGACAGCGGGCCAGTTTAAACAGACTCACGGTTGAACTCTGTTTACAGTTGTAAAGCCGGCTGTCGGCTTTACAATAGAAACGATTCTGGTGACAGCTGCCGCCAGATCACTTTTACGCGCCGATAAAGTGCCCAACACCCTGACCGTGTTTCCGGGGCTCTGCTGCCCCTCCTGCGGGCCCGGGACTGACATGTCAGGTGCCGGCGGGAAGCTGGGTAGAAGAGCAGCAAACATCCGTTCATAGAATTCCTCCCCACTCTATGGGACCGGGAGCGATGCAGATTACATCACTAACGGTCCCTGAGCTGTCAATGCTCGGCTGATGAAGTGCGATCTGCTCTTCAATAGCTTATTTAAAGTGCAATGGTGACACTAGGGGTCTTTCGGACTCCCAGTATCACCTTAACCAGTTGACATCCGCGGTGTTAAACCCCCTTCCCATCCAGGCCATTTTTCAGTATTCAGCGCTGCGGTACTTTGACTGACATTTATTCCGTCTATTCTGGTGACAGCTGCCGCCAGATCACTTTTACGCGCCGATAAAGTGCCCAACACCCTGACCGTGTTTCCGGGGCTCTGCTGCCCCTCCTGCGGGCCCGGGACTGACATGTCAGGTGCCGGCGGGAAGCTGGGTAGAAGAGCAGCAAACATCCGTTCATAGAATTCCTCCCCACTCTATGGGACCGGGAGCGATGCAGATTACATCACTAACGGTCCCTGAGCTGTCAATGCTCGGCTGATGAAGTGCGATCTGCTCTTCAATAGCTTATTTAAAGTGCAATGGTGACACTAGGGGTCTTTCGGACTCCCAGTATCACCTTAAAGAGGACCTGTCACCACCAATTTGCTATCACACGGGGGGCTTGTAAGCCCTCCTATATGTTAACAATTTAAAATTAAATTAAATAAATGTAAAAATAATTTGAAAAAAATGTTTAAAGTCCCCCGCATGCGCATATTCAGGTAACGCATCGGGTGCGCCTGCACACAAAAACAAGAATCTCGCTACACATGTTGGGTATCGCTGCGCACTCAGAGTAAGAGTAATAATGCTAGGGCCAATAGTTACACATATACCTAAACTGATGACCTTTAGGGGCTTTTAAAGTGGCATCTATGGACTTTTTGGGGTACGAAATTTTGTCAGTTTCACAGACGCACACAATTTTTCACCTGGGCATGTTGGGTATCTATTTACTCATTGTAACCATCTTTTATATGGGTATTGTGTTTTGGGGCACTAAATTTAACTTAAGTGTGTTTTTCACAAAATGTTCGAGTTTGATAAGAGTTGCGCTAATATCGTGCAACTTAAAAATTTGCAACTGCTGCCATTTTATTCTATAGGGTCTTGGCTTTCAGAATATATATAATGTTTGGGGGTTTGAAGTTCTGTTCAGGCCTAAAATGTGGATTATAACATGTGGGCAAAAAACGAGAAAAGAAAAGCCTTGGCAGGGAAAGGGTCCTTATGGGGTTAAAGCTCAACTCCATGTGGCTATGTAACACACCAGTTCATGCCGTTCTGTTTTTATTGCTGAATTCCAGGCAGCTGCTAAATACATATTGCAGCTATTCTTGTGATGTAGGCACCACTGCCAGATAACACAGCCATATCCTCAACCATATCCTCAAACCTCCACTGCAGCAGCTGCCCAGCTTGATAAAGAACACAACTTCTGGCTGCTGATTGGACGAACGAGCCGCAGCACACGGATATCCTCCTGACAGCGTGTTCACTGTTGGCACATATTCCCTGCAGCAAAGGAAAATTGGCTCCTAGGCCAGCGGTGTCACCCGATCGCTTTTTAAAGCGCCACTAAACTCAGAAATTAAATAATAAAAATAACTTCTATTATATAAATAGTAAATTTAAAAACCTTATTTTGTCATTGTTCAGCTCTAAGGCCTCGTTCACACGGGAATTGGCCGGCCCGTACAGATCCGTGCTGCGTGCACGGCGATACGCTCAGCCCCCGGGAAGACAGGTGCTGCGTGTGATTAGTATGCAGCCCCCGTCCTTCTCTATGGGACCACGCGGGCATACGCCCCCGCCTACTCTCACCTCAAGTGCGGGTGCGTGTTTCCTGGCTCGGACGCAAACAGGTCCATCCTGTCGGCGTACGCTCGGACAGGCAGGGCGGGTGAGCGTAGGGCGGCGTACAACCGTGTAGTCCCATAGAGAAGGACAGGGGCTGTGTACTAATCACACGCAGCACCTGTCCTTCCCAGGAGCCGAGCGATACGGCTGTGCACGGAGATGTACGTGCCGGCCGATTCCGGTATGAATGAGGTCTAAATGCTCCAAAATTTGTTTTATTTCTCTCCAGCCACAACTTCTTGCTAGCGGGTGGCTACTTTTCTTCTCCTTGGTTTCTATGGGAGCTGAAAAGTAGCCACCCTGTGTGCTGGTTCATGTGAAGGACAACAGTCAGACATGAGAACTATGAAGCTCTCTCATGTCTCCTCTTTAGAATCCTCCCAGTCTCTGCCCACAAGTCCTTTCCCCTAGACTCTGCACAGAGCTGTGATCACCAGGTGAGCTGAATATCTTCTTAACTCAGCCGTTTTTTTTCTACACCAAGTTTCTGAAGACGTTCAACATGTCAGCAGTCTCAGACTTTTCTCTGAGTCTGATGGATAAAGCTCCTACTTTTACCACCACCGAAATAAATACATTTTCCTCTGCACTGACCATCTGCAAGTGGAAAAAGTGTTCATCAGCAAGGCGGGCACTACACTCACTAAATTAAATATATAGATATAGTGTGTGTGTGTATATATATATATTATTATATTTATATAATATACTCTATATATACATACACACACACACCCCATACGTGTGTGTGTATGTACATAGAGAGCACAGTGCAGGGAGCTGTTTACAGGCTTTTGGGCCCAGTCACACCATTTCCTGTGCGTTGCGGTCCAAGCCCAGAATGCACTGGATTGCATGGATCAGGCCAGCCGGAGGGGGCGTGGCGGTGCCCTTCATGCTAATTGTACCGGAGGCACGCCCCCTGCCCACTGTGCGATCGCCTGCACTGGAACGCGATGTACAGGAATGACCTCCGTTCCGGTGCACTGCGATCAGGGAAAAATGCTGCAGCTCTTTCTAAGTGACAGGAAGAGTGAGGGGAGAGAAGAGACATGGGAGCGAGCACAGCAGACTTTCTAAAAGGATTACAATTAGGGATGCACCGATACTAGTATCGATATCGGTCCCGATTCCGAGTATTTGGGCAAGTACACGCTGCCCAGTTTCGCGATTGACCGGAAGCTGTCCTCGTGAGGTAAGGTTACCTTACCTTAGTATGTGTAGCCTGTCATCCCCCGGGGCCTCTCCAACGAGAATGCGGCCTTCGTCCGGTACCCAGCTGGGGCCGTCTAGCCGGCCAATCAGGAAGCCGGGCGCCGTGTAATGACGCAACGCCCTGCTTTCTGATTGGCCGGGAAGCTGGCTTCATGCTTCCTCGTCATCTCATGACAAGAGACCATGGAGCCGGCCTCCCAGCCAATCAGAAAGCAGGGCGTTGCGTCATTACACGGCGCCCGGCTTCCTGATTGGCCGGCTAGACGGCCCCAGCTGGGTACCGGACGAAGGCCGCGTTCTCGCTGGAGAGGCCCCGGGGGATGACAGGCTACACATACTAAGGTTAGAGGGGACTTTTTTGTTAATCTGGAAGCCGGGTGGCGACTCTTTACACGCTTCCCGGGTAATCAGGACGCCACCTGGCTTCCTGAATGGGACTTCCGTTACTCGGTAATTGGTGTCGGCAAGTACCTAAAAAAATTTATCGGTACTCGTACTCGGTACCAAAATACCGGTATCGGTGCATCCCTAATTACAATAGTCAGACTTTATTTTCATACATAAATAAATGTGGCTTTGGAGAATGTTCATGTGTAGATGTGTATAAGAAGAAGAAAGCTGAGGGTTTTGTGTCACTTTGATTTATCTCCTGAGTTTAGTGTCACTTTAAGGAAAAGGCAATCTTTGGGAATTATTTCAGCTGAGAACGCATGCAGGGGAACTCAGCAAAACACCTGGATACATGCACATCAATGCATGCCATAATGTGCTTTAAAGTACATGCCTTTTTGCTGCGCAAAGTTACGATCCTGTCAGGTTTTTACTGTCTCTATATTTTATATCATCTGCCTTCTACTTGTGTGTTCTAGCCACCTCCATAGATGTCTGTAAACAGTAATTGATGCCAATTGTTTTCTTTTCATCTCTTTTGGAGCTTGGTTCTGTGCTCTCTATTTGTGTACCCAGCTCGGCGTCATTTTTACATTGTTGGCTTTGTACTCTGTTACTCAAAACACTACACTGCATTTCCAAATACTAGAGGTGCTTAGTGGTCAGTGGTCAAAACATCTTTTCACCAACAGAACAAGGAAAACAGAGGTCAGCTGGAACTCAGAAAAAGGAAAGTGATATATGACAGGTCAGTGACCTCTGTAATTCACACTGACATGGCTTAAAGTGGAATTGTAATTACCATGCAAAACTTTGTAAAGCCTCCTTGTGCTCTCGCCAAGACCAACAAATGCAGATTTTGGATCATATGTGAAACTTCAGCAGCTTGTAACAGGCAAGTGTTTTGGGCTTGTTTACGTTGACTGTACTTTGCCTGGCCTGCTGAGCTGCATAGACATCTATGAACTACAGTACATTAGTCCTTGGCATAAGTTATACCCCTGATCTAAGGTTTGCATACGCCTGTCCTAAGTTATACCCCTGATCTGAGGTTTGCGTTCGCCTGTCCTAGGTTATACCCCTGATCTGAGGTTTGCGTTCGCCTGTCCTAAGTTATACCCCTGATTTGAGGTTTGCATTCGCCTGTCCTAGGTTATACCCCTGATCTGAGGCTTGCGTTCGCCTGTCCTAAGTTATACCCCTGATCTGAGGTTTGCATTCGCCTGTCCTAGGTTATACCCCTGATCTGAGGTTTGCATTCGCCTGTCCTAGGTTATACCCCCTGATTTGAGGTTTGTGTTCGCCTGTCCTAGGTTATTCCCCCCGATTTGAGGTCTGTGTTCGCCTGTCCTAGGTTATACCCCCTGATTTGAGGTTTGTGTTCGCCTGTCCTAGGTTATACCCCCTGATTTGAGGTTTGCATTCGCCTGTCCTAGGTTATACCCCCTGATTTGAGGTTTGTGTTCGCCTGTTCTAGGTTATACCCCCTGATTTGAGGTTTGTGTTTTCCTGTCCTAGGTTATACGTCTGATCTGAGGTTTGCATTCGCCTTCCTGGGTTATACCCCTGATCTGAGGTTTGCATTCGCCTGTCCTGGGTTATACCTCTGATCTGAGGTTTGCAATTGTGTGTGTTGTTGTAAAGTAGCCACCACACAAGGAAGCTGCCATGATGGACTACAATCTCATGTTTAGTTTACTAATTAATTTGTATTGAGATTGCAGTCCATCACAGGAGTGAGCTTGGAGCGGTGACTACTTTACAACACACACAAGGACCATGGGGAACAAAAGTAACCACCCTCCAGAAGGAAGGACAGTGTCAGCACCAATCAGAGATGATTTGATGATCTACAGCCGAGTGACACACAAGTAAGGTTTTGTTACTAGTTAAGGTCCTTGAATGCATTAGGATTTAACTCCTGAGTTTAATGTCACTGTATGCTACAAACGCTCAGGTCTTCTCTCTGCTCTGTCACAGCTGCTGCTGATCATCTTCTCAGAGCAGAGTGTGTGCTCCTTCATGAGAAGGGGGGACGAGTCAGCTCAGCAGAGCAGAGAGGAATCTGATCTGAAGCTGATTACATATTACAGATGCAAGGATTAAAGTTCCTCTGGAGGGAATTTTTAATATCTAGGACTCCGGCCTATGAAAGAGTCCATAAAAAAGTGTTAAAAAAAAAGAAGCACTGTGACTCCTGACAATGCACACTCGCATACATCCCCCCTGCACCTCTACATTACCACAATAAATACAAATCACTTACAAAGGTGGAAATGGACTTTAAGCTATAAGTCCAGCCTCTGTCCTCTGAGATCAGTGCAGATAGCAGATTATATGAAAGAACACACAAGACTTTGTATATTGATAGTTTTCCCTTCATCCCCGGGCCTCAGCAGTGTTGGTTACAAGCCCTGAGCTTGGCCAGGAAACAGTCAGGCCCCTCGAGTGCCTTTACAGCCTGACACAGGGCTGACTCTTTTGCTCTGATATAGTAGAAAACCCCTAATAATAATAACACATCTCTGAGAGGTAAGATTGCAATATTATAACGACGTCGGAAGAGTCCGATTATAGCGTGTGCCCGTTCTTGGCTGGTTCATTTTAAGGATCATTAACACAATGTATATTCCGTACAGAAATAAAAATCAGAAATACTACGGACCCCAACAGGAGATGAAAAATCTCAAGTTAGGACGTGACCCAGGTCAGTACAATAAATATATCGGAATGCACAAACAAATATAAGGGCAACGTTATGTCTACAGAGAGATTTCCAAACAGCAAGATGTGTCATCATAAAACTGGAGCAAATAATTAGACAAGTGATAACAAAGCAAGAAGTGTCTTCTAAACCACAGAAACCTGCATGGGGAGTTCCACTTGGAAATCTCATATTTTTAGATTCTATTACGCAATTGATTTCACTATCATCTCCCTTGTATGCTAGCTTGGTTGTAACTTGATTAAAGGTGGCCATACACTGTACAACCATCGCAAGACCTTAGTCTTGCGATGGTTGTACAGGGATTAAAAAAACGTACGATCTGCCTATCTTGGACAGGCAGATCGCACTCTCGATCATCGCAAGCCCGCCCCCCTAAGGGGCGGGCTTCCGATGACCGCAATGCTGAACGGGCACACCGGCCCGTGATTCTCGTAGAGAATCGAGCAGTGTATGGGCACCTTAACTCGCATTTCCACAATTGGTGGTTTTGTCTAAACATAAGTAGTACGGAATTAGAAATCTCTGACTATTAAATCTCATCTGATCCTGTACCTAGGGACGTGTGGGAAGTCATGTATTAGACCCGGTAACTTAAAAACAAATTAATTTAGGCTCTCTGGATTTATTTTATTTTTTTAAATGATTAATGTGTTTGAAAATATTTTTTTGGGGATTCGTGTATCATGTTAAATTATCAAAGTTTACAATGGTTGTTATCTGAAGGCTATTCAGATAGTTGTGGTAAAGTAATGGGCATTGTGAGAGGTTAATTTTCCTGGGCTGCCAAAGCATTAATAACGGAAGAAGTGCACCACAATGCATGTTAGTGCTTTCATTTGTGGTGCACAAATATTTCAGTGCTTTACTTTAGTCTGTTGGGGTTCTGTTGAGAATGAATGGCACCCCAACACATTAATGTGTGTAATGTATGTGTTCAAAATGTGTTAACTCAATGCATAGGTGTGACTGGGCCTTAAAGTGACATTTAAATTCAAAAATCCCCCCCCAATGCTTCTTTAAGTTCTCACCTTAAATGATGCGTCTTGATCCGATCATCATCTTCTTTCCAGTAGTTTTCAGGTGTCCTTCCAGTGCTGGTGCCGGTCTCTGATCCCGCGCTGACTCCTGTCTCTTCCTCACCCCTGTGTCTCTCCTCTTCTCCCGACCAAACATCTGTACTGCGCATGCACCCGCCCCATGATCCTTGGACGGGAGCGTGCGGCAGAGACACAGGTAAGTTTTTAACCTTTTTCGTTACCTTTTTTAAAAAAACCTCTTCTCCCCTGGCTCCGTCCCCACAGCCTCTTCTCCCCTGGCTCCGGCCCCACAGCCTCTTCTCCCCTGGCTCCGGCCCAAGCTCTGTTGACGTCATCATGTCTAATGCAGGTCCATTCACCTGCATTAGATGCGAGGAAATCAAGGGACATACTACAGCTGGAGCGGAGGGGAAGAGAGGTGAGTGCTTACCGCTGTGGGACTGAGGATCAGGTAAGTATATCTATACATCTAGACCAAAACAAGCACTTGCCCCCTGCAGTGCTGGGGTAACGCCACTGCAAGGGTTAATTTTGTTATTTCCTGGAGTTCGTCTTTAAATGGTCTCCCCCCTTTATTTTCCTTTTCTCTCCTCCATCTTTTCTTTATCCCTTACATTGCAGTTCTTCATGTTTTATATACACATGTAAGAATTCTAAATACAGGCTAACATCCTATTCCATTCATGCCATCGTTTGATTCTTTCAATGAAGAATTTAAAGGGAACCTGCCTTTCGCCCATGCAGGACAAAGGAACAGATTTACTTAAATTTCTGCCCCCTTGATTGCTCATAGTTACATTCCACCATAAACTGTTGTCACTTTTAACTTCTTTTCTTGGAAGAAGAAACGAATGAGAAAATTCTTGGTGTGTGCCCAGCTTTAGAGGATATAGTAGGGAGATGAACAGAAGGGTTAAAGCTAAATTGCTTCACATTGAGGCTGTTAAAGTATTTACAGAGCTATTTAAAATACCGGATAGAAGTAGTTTGTGGTAATTTAATATGTTACCCTCTGTGTTAAACAGATATGTGACTACTACATTTGTCTGTGTTTGTTGTCATTTTAGAACTGCTTTCACTGACCTGCAAGTTAACCAGAAGCATTCCTATTTTATTGAGCACCCACCCTCTCACTTAGCAGCCTTAACTCTGACATCTATTTAGTAGAATTAGGAGAACAGTAGGGAAAAGACCCCAATATAGCATGTTCTATACATTTCCCACGCATAAACAGTAAACTAAAATGATCTCATGGCTCACTCATGGACTTGCTGTAGTAGGAACATCCACACACTTGAGTGTCTTTGTGTTTTTTTTTTTTTGTATATTTTGGTGTACTGGGTTTCTTGATTGTACAATACAGGACACAGGCAGATTCAGAGACGAATGGGTAATATGCAGGTATCATCAGGTGACTGGACATTGGCCAAGGCAGTTGTTTGTGTCCTTTGGTGATGGATGTCTCTACTGAAGGAGGTGTGTGTAGTTTTTAGTCATTTATTTTTCCTATAATACTTCCACCAAGTGTCTTCCTATGGATATAGACAGGACTGAAGATGTGGGGCTGGCCCATAATGTAGATTTGGGCACTGGATCTGGTGTTAGACGCCCACCTTGGCACATGGCGTGGAGTGTTGGGTTAGCCACAGGGTGCTATACAGGTCCAGGGCAGTGACATTTTACCCCTTAGGGCAGTGGTTCTCAACCTGTGTAACCTCAGGACCCACATTGGTCATTAAGTCGCGACCCAAGGTGCACTACAACGGAACGCATGATATGTGGTACTGCACGTTCCGTTGCGGGCGATGGAACTATGGGTGGGAGATGCATTTGGGATTCCATTCAAATGAATGGCAATGCACTACCACATCAGAATGTGCTGTGATGGAGTGCCATCCATTTGTGCATCACCTTTAGAGGTGCTGTGAGCAATGCACGTATGGATGGAGCTCCCTCGCGGCCATAACCCCAGCCCACCCCACCTCAAGCTGATACTCGGCACTGATCAGCATATTTTTGAATGTCTGCTCGCAGGGCAGCCATCAGAAATTTTGGGGCCCCTTTCACGGCTTGACGGGCCCCCCCAGGCTGCCCGGGCCCCTTACATGAGTATCGGCCGTACCCCTCTGATGGCTGCTCGGTGCAAGGACTGACAGTGCTGCGCTAGGGGAAGGCAGAGGAGCCTCTCACCTAGAAAAGTAGAAGGCATGCAGTGACCCACTGAACATGGGGTCGCGACCCACTTTTGGGTCACGACCCACCAGTTGAGAACCAAGGCCTTAGGGGGTATTCTTATTTGGAGTACCCCAGGTCTCTATGGTCTTTGGCTCTTTAGAAAATCATTGTCCCACGCACAAAAAAATTTGTAAAATACCTTCAGTTTTCCATCCCAGCACTAGCTGGGATGGAAAAAACTACTTTTCTGCCTACATTTCCTGGCGGTCCTGGCAGTGCACAGGAACTGCCATGGGCAGCTTTAACACCGGGGGCTCCTGCTGCCTGGAGCATGTTGTTAGCCCACTGATGTTCTGGCCTTTCTTTTAAGGACTTTTTGGATAGACGTCCAAAAGCCTTTTCCAATACATCCTTTGCTCTTAGGCCTGCTGTGCAACAGACGGCTGGTTTTATGGAGGTCAAACCTTAACAGTCTGGATTAAACACATGGTGAGGCACCATAACTCTATCTCTAATGGACCCTGAAATCAGTCGGCGGCTGGAGATTTTGCCAGAAGTTTTGTGCTACTGTGTAGATGGTCTAGCTGACACTTTGCTTCAGCTGTCTAGGCTGGTATTGCGGTCTGCTCCGATGCATAGACTGCTGTGACTTCACTATTGGTTGGTGGAATTACACCACAAGAAGCACTTGGAGAGGATTTCTCCCGCGGGAGAAAGCCTTTTTTGGAGATGAAATGGACACCTTTTATTAAAAAGGTTACTGGGGCCAAGAGCACTCTTTTACCCAGCAATCAGAAACCTAAGGTTTCCCCTGGTAAGTATACCTCACCTTTTGGCCAGGAAGGGTTCCTTTCATCCCTCCCAGCCTTCTACCTCCAAAGTTAAACGGGGCTCCTTATTTAAGCATGAGCGCTTTACCCCAAAGCCTTCCAAGTCTGCCACCAAGACGTCCTCGCAATGAGGGGATGCCCCTTTCTCCAGTGGGGAAATGTCTTTGGGGGCGCCTGGAGTTGAGATGTCTGGATCTGTAGGTGCTTTCCATAGTCTCCCAGGGTTACAAACTGGAGCTGTTATTCTACCCTCTTTCCTTGGTTTATGCCATCCAACCTTCCCCACATAAAGATGCACTACAGAGGGCCTTGCAGCAATTTCTAATGGCAGGAGTTATTGTCCATATCCCTCAGGAGGAGACGTTCAAAGGTTTTTACTGCAACCTCTTTACAGTTCCAAAACCGAGTGGAGGGATACGTGTCCCATCATGGACTTGAAGTCTCAAGTTTCTGCAGGTCGGCAATTTCTGGAGGATCTTGTGCTCAAGGTTGCTTTCCATGTCGCTATTACTTATTCTTATTACTGCTAGGAGAGTTTTGGAGCTGGCAGCACTATTGTGCAAAGAACATTCTTCTGTTCTTCCCAAGGATAAGGTCATGCTTGGGTCGAATGATTCCTTTTTGCCTGAAGTGGTGTCTTCTATTAATCTTAATGTGGATATCATCCGTCCCTCTTTTTGTACTACCGCAAATCATCCTAAGGATGTCTTTCTCCACTCTATGAATCGGGTCAGGTGAGTATCTCTGGACTACAGCTTCGTTTTACCATCAGATTGTCTTTCTTTCCTGAAGGACCTCGCAGGGGGCTTTCTGGATCTCGTTCCACCATCTTGAGGTGGATCAGACAAGTCATAGTACATGCCTATTCAGTAAGGCAAGGCTCCTCCTTTTCCTGTTAAGGTGCACTCTACTAGATCTGTCGGTGCTTCTTGGGTTTTTCAGCATCAAGCATCGCATTTGCAGATTTGCAATGTCATCTCCTGGACTTCTGTTCACCAAGTTCTACCAGATGGATATTTCGGGCATTTTCTGATGCTAGTTTTGGCTGTAAGGTGCTACAGGCTGCTCTCTAAAGTTTTCCCAGAAAGTCATGTCGGCTGGTTGGTGCATAGCGTGCTGTGTTGCCCTACCCTCTGTTCTCTTGCTTGGGGATGTCCTAGTTATCTCTGAATTTGCCTGTGTCCTGTAATGTGCAATCAAGAAAATAGGATTTTTGACTTGCCCGTAAAATCCAATTCTTGGCGTACAGTACAGGACACAGCACACTTCCCTCTGTCCTCTATTGCATGTTAACAAATTAAGGATTTCCTGGAGTGAGAGAGGTTATATGAGGTCCTGAGCTCTGGCCAGTGTCCAAGTACATAATGATATCTAAATATTACCCAGTTGTCTCTGAGTTTGCCTGTGTCTTGTACTCCAAGAAACTAATACTGATTTTACTGGTAAGTAAAAAAATAAAAATAAAAAAAAAATCCTATTTTTTGTTGATCAGGAAGCCGTCTTAGTGTATTTCAGGTGTCCCCATTATGCCCAGACGGATGTTAATGGCTCACAAGTCTGTTTTCTCTTACTCCCGACCTCCAAAGTGGCTGAATGGTCCCTGTACGATGAACTCCGTCGGAAGTGGTTACCGAGTGTTCTCCGCTAATTCCAGCGCTGCCTGCATAGAACTCGCCAAGAAGATTACAGAGTAAGTAGGAAACTTGAACTAAACTCTCCAGCCAGTGTATAACTGAACCAGAAGTTAGATGACGTGTTTCTGTTGCTGACAGGAAGCTATAAAGCCTAACTACAGCCCTGTGATTCCTTAATTTTCAGTAGAGTGAGAAAGAGTTACAATTTGTCAGGTTTTTAATATTGCCTGCCACCCCATTCAGGAGACGTTTTCTTGCTTCTGTCCCTGTGACAGCTGTACATGAAATGGGGGAAAAACCCTTGTCGCTGGGAGAGGAAGGCACAGACAGCAGTTTAAAGAATTTTGACATTCTAAACCTGTTAGAATGTATTTTTTGTCTCTGTTGGAAAGAAAAAAGGTTTGGAGTTGGGGTTCAAAAAAAGAAAGAAAAGGGCAATAAAACAAAAATGCTAACCCTTCCCTTTAAAAAGAACCTACACTTTAACCACTTCAAGACCAGGTGTTTAGACCCCCTTCCTGGCCAGGCCATTTTTCAGTATTCATCGCTGCGATACTTTGACTGACGTTTATTCCGTCATGCAACGCTGTACTGAAATGAATTTTATACCATTTTTTGGGGACAGATAGAGCTTTCTTTTGGTGGTATTTAATCACCACTACGGGTTTTATTTTTTATTATAATTAGGAAAAATTACTGAAAATTTTGAAAAAAAAAAAGTTTTTTGTAACATTGTTAGGAAACATTTATTATTACCCAGTTTTTTGGTCAAATATTAAAGATCAGTCGGGGGGGGGACACCCGATCGGCACCCCATACATGCGATCGGCCGGCTCTACAGCCGGCGGATCGCATGTATATTAACGGGCATCGCTGCCCGTTTTTAAATTAAGGCCATTTCCCGCGCCTGGCGGCGCGCGCAAGGGGGCGTGTCTGAGCGGACGTCTAGAGACGCCCGCTCAGATCGAGAGAGCTCCTGGCCGGCCGTTTTTTTACTACGGCCGGCCCGGAGGTTGATAATATAAGTTCATGCACCTAGGATTTCAATATTTCGCAGTTCCTCCTTGTGTTTCTGCAATACATACCTGAAGCCCTAAGCACATGCACGTTGCTTATTTTTTTCTTACTAGTTAGTAGCAGCATTCGCTTCAGCAAGCAAAACATTTCACAAGCTTTCTTTAAGTTTTTAAAGCTGAACCTCCAGGCAGATGTAAAAAACAGGAATGAATGCAGCTCTGTAAGCTGTGTAAGTACCTGAATTTGACCTGGTGTCAGCCTCTTGCAGTCCCTGTATAGGAGGACTGAGTATGACAGGAAGAAGCAGTACAAGGTGCCAATCACTTGATATGCTGACTAGGAGCATGCTGATGGGAGGAAGCAGAGTGACACATAGATGAGCTCATTGCAGTGCTGCTTTTCCTTTTGCTGTCCAGTCACAAGCTGGGCAGATGCTGGATGGTCTGGGCTCAGAGTAAGCAAGTAGAATGATGCTGGCCATCAAACTGAGGACATCTAGTGGCAGAAATAAAAAGTACGGCAGGATACATCTCTGGGCCGAAGCTGAATATTGCAGCAAAAGCTTGTTTTGTTATTTTAACGGACTATCCAGTTTATCTTATTTTTGGCTGGAGTTCTGCTTTAACTAGGGCTGCAAGCAACTGATTGATATAAATTAATAGTTAATGAATATTGTCATCAATTAGTTGGTGCAGATCCCTAGTTCTCTGCGCTAGGAGCCAGTGTTTCATTGGCTCTGTGTCCCCTCCAGTCCCTGCTGCTCCCAGTAGTGTGGCATAGTGGTTTGTGCATCTGCCTTGCAGCACTAGGGGTCCCTGGTTCAAATTCCGGCCCGGTCACTGGGGGTCCCTGGTTCAAATTCCGGCCCTGGTTCAAATTCCGGCCAGCTAAGGAGTTTGCATGGTCTCCCTGTGCTTGTGTGGGTTTCTCCCGGGTACTCTGGTTTTCTCCCACACTCCAAAGACATGCTGAAAGGTTAATTGGCTCCTATCTGAGCCGGCTCTGTATGTATTTATGTATGCATGTGAGAGAGGGACCTTAGATTGTAAGCCCCTTGAGGGTAGGGACTGATGTGAATGTGCAGTATGTAAAGCACTGTGTAAATTGTCAGCACTATATAAATACCAATAATAGTTACATAGTATTTGAGGTTGAAAAAAGACACCGGTCCATCAACTTCAATCTCTGTGTGTTTGTGCACATGTGTATGCGAGTCCCTGTGTGGTCTAGTATTTAAGTTCACCTGTACCCCTGTATGTTACGATCTCTGAAGAAAGTATCTAATTAATTGATTTTTAGACAAATCAATACTGTCTGCTGATACCACTGCTTGTGGCAGAGAGTTCCAAAATGTAACCACTCTAACTGAAAGGAAGCCCCTACGCCCTTTGTGGTTAAATCTTTTCTCCACCAATTATAGGTGGTGGCCTCTAGTCCTTGTTATGGAGTTTACGGTAAAATGTTTAGTGCCGATGTTGCCACCACCACTGATCATTTTGTACAACAAAATCATGTCCTCTCTTAGGGCCTGTTCACATGAGTTTCAGGTCCGGATCTGCAGATGCGGTGCTACTGATGCAGTGCGTTCTGGCCGCGTTTTTGTCGTAACGGACTGCGCACGTGAGAACTGTAGCCCATAAAACACATGGGGATACATTGGGATGCATTTTGAGTGCAGGAGCGTACGGATCAGGTCAGCACACAAAACGGACATCGTGTGAACAGGCACTAAGGCCCCGTTCACATTGAGCGATTTATGGCGCGGTAATTCCCGCGATATCGCGGCTATTTACCGCGCGATATCGCTCTTCAATGTTTTGCAATGGGGCAAAGGGTCCTGCTGCCGCGGGTCGTGTTTCGCTACAGCAGGACCCTTTTTGGAGCGGATTTTGCCGCTATTCAATGGTTTTTGATGCAAGCATTTGCGCGATATCCGCATCGCTCAATGTGAACGGGGCCTTAATCTCCTCACTTCCAGCGTGAGCAAGTTTAAGTTTAGCAACGTTGTCTCGTAGTCTTGATTCTCCAGCCCCTTAATTAGCTTTGTTGCTCTTGTTTGGACCTTCTCCAGCTCCAGTACATCTTTTATGTGGACTGGTGACCAAAACTGAACCGCATACTCAAGATGAGGCCGAACCGGCGATCTATAGAGTGGCAAAAGTATTGTTTTGTCTCCTACAGTACATTCCCTTTTTAATACAAGACAGCACTCTGCTCGGTTTGCTGCCTCCTGGCATTGCGTGTTGTTGTTCAATCTGTGTTCAATTATAACCCCCAAATCTTTTTCAGTTTCTGACTTCCCTAGTGGAGTTCCCATTAATATGTATTCCCCTTGCCTGTTTTTAACGCTAAAATGCATTACTTTACATTGCTCAACATTAAACCTCATCTGCCATATAGTTGCCCACTCCCCTATTTTATCCAGGTCCTCCTGTAATATATAATATAAACGACTAAATACATTTAAAGTGTATTTCCACTTTTGAAGTAAGAAATTGAGAAAACCTCTCTATCTTTGCATTTCCTACTCACACAGTGGGGGTGATTTACTAACCTAAACACACGCACACACAAGGTGCGTGTGATCGTCACACAGCTAAACGTATTTATCAACCAAAAAATCTCTAAAAGCATATTTCCACTAATGCCATATATGGAAAAATATGCATATATAATGCTGCTTCACAGTTTAGACAAAAATGGTTAGCTCATGCATTTACATTCCTGCATTCATCAACGCAAGCAACACAACATAGAGCTAATTTACATCACCTTGTAATTCATGCAGGGCTTTGCACAACACACCTGCTGGGTGTGTACACACTACAAAGGTGTTTAGATTCCAGCAATAGATCATGCTGGGAGGGAACACACTACAGAGGTGTATACATGTTCGTGGCGTGTTTATAAGGTTAGTAAATCAACCCCAGTATATCTAAAAATATATATTTTTAAATATTTCTTCTATTTTAATGTCTGTATACATTAGTCCTTTGCAAGCTTCTCTCCCAATTTCAGTCACTGAACAACTCTGACTGCCCTATTAGAAATACTAGGGACAGGCTCAGCTTCCTTCATTAACTTACAATGCTTCTAGATCTTTAACCCTTTGTTAGAGCATACAAATCTAGTTTACAGCTGACAATGAGATCGGCCTGCACAATACAGACAAGGGTAATTATAGTAAATATTACTCTCCTCCTGCATTCCAGACAGAAATTTAGTGCAGAGAACAACTAATCTGTCAGAGTAGAGCAAGTTATATGTAAGCAGCATTTTTTTTAAATTTCTGCTAAGTAAATGAGAAACGTAAGAAATATAAAATCGTTGTTATCCCAATTTGGCTGCAAAAGTGGAAATACGCTTTAACTGTCTTCAGTACTATTAAGATCGATAGTCATGTCCCCCGGACTAGAGCTGAAGGAGTCTTTAAAGGAGAACTTCAGGAATTTATTTTATTAACCCTTGCATTGGGGCTACCTCCGCACTACAAGGGTTAACTGCTCATTTACGTCTAGGTTTAACAAAACAAAGATTTACTTGCCCAAAGCTCCAAGCCAGCTGCTACTTAGACCAGTCCTTCCAACATCTCTCCCCCCTCTGCAGCGGTCTAAGGTCCCGTATATCATCAACGCCAATACACTGTACAAAGACGTGAGGACGCTGATGAAGATAACAATTCATCAGGGAGGGGGAGAGAGACTGGAGGGAGTGCCGTGACAGCCAGCTCGGAGCTTCGGGTGAGTATAACTTTGTTATTGTAGCACCTAGACACAAGGGAGCACTTAAAATATAATTAAAGCCTCTGCAGTAGATATATGCACAAAGTGTAAAAAAATTTTTTAAAACCCTTTAAAAGCGGTTTAAACTTACCTGTGTCTTCCCCGTGCGCTCCTGTCCGAGAATGTGAAAATTCTCGGGTGACCGCAAAGTATCTTGGGGCGGGCGCATGTGCAGTTCACATTTTCGGCCGGGAGACGAGGAGAGACGCAAGGTAAGTCTATGGACGCATGCACCCGCATGCAGACACCATGGGACAGGAAGTGCCAGCAAGGACAGAGGAGTCAGCGCTGGATCTGAGACCCGCAGCAGCGCTGGAGGGACAGATGAAATGGACAGGAAAGAAGATCGGATTAAGAAACATCATTTAAGGTAAGTGCTGACATTAACATTGGGGGGAGGGAAACCATTTTTGGACTTTAATGTAATTTTAACCCTTGCAGTGTGGGGTAAGCAAGGGTTAAGTTTTCTTGTGTTTTTCTTTAAAGAATTTACGCATATTTCCACTTCTGCAGCCAAATTGGGGCAACACTTTTTTTTATATTTGTTACATGTTTCTCATTTACATAGCATAGCTTATTTTTTAAATTGCTGTTTGCATATTACATACAAATATATTTTAAAATCTATTTGTAGGTATCCTGTGTGAATAAGAATACATGGCAATATACACCACTAACTCGACCTTTCCTTCAGTATTATCTGGGAACCCCCCAGTCTGCTATATTTCTGACTTCACCCCAACGCACCTGATGTGGGGATTCATGGCATGGATCCCGCAAATCCCTTAATAGTGGCCTCAACGTCTGTCTTTTAGTTACATCCCTTCGATTATGTTGTGGGACTCTAACAATTGGAACACAATGTCATACGTAACTTGCTTTCAGCTATTACCGATCTTGTGTTACCAAATGATACTTACCTGCCACAAGTGATACATTTCTGTTCTGTGTGGTTGTTTTTACTTTTGGATTTGTCTGTTGACATTGTATGCAAGTAGATTTTCGTGTTCAATAATGTAATGTAAAAATGTATGTGGGAAGGAATACATGGCAAAATTATAGTGCGGTTTTCTTAAATTTGACTGGAAACGTGGAAATATATTTCTGCTTCAAGGTCTCTTAAGGTTAGTGGGCCTGAAAGTTCCATGCATGTTTGTCCAATCTGCAGAGAAACACACAATACATAAATCATGCAAGCCGGTCCAAACCTGGTTAATGGATTGCGGGATTCTCTATATATTGGGCAGATTTACATGAATATATTTATGTGCATACAAATTTGGATCCATCTGATCTGCAGATAAAGTCACTCATCCCTGTTAACTGCTTGCTGAAGCCAATACTGTTTTTAGGCTTTTATTCACAATCTGAGATTAAAGGAGAACTATGGGGTCAGTGTTTTTCCCCATAGTTCTCAGGGTAACGGGAGGACACAAACTAGCGTCCTCCCGTTACCCTAAGCTCAGTATACCGCAAGCTACAGCTCGAGGTATACTGAGACGCCGCAGCCGGAGCGGATCCCGACCTGGACGTCGGGATCCGCCCAGCTGCGTGAGTGACAGCTGGCTCTGCCTATCTAGATGCAGAGCCAGCTGTACCCGCCCCCTCCCACATCCGTTCTGCCAGTCCGCGCTGGCAGATCGGAGCGGGGAGAGGGGAATCCAGCCCCTCCACCCTGTCACGGCAGAGAGCCGTGACAGGATCGAGAGGTGAGGGAACCCGGTATGTGTTCACTCACCTCCCGATCTACTGAGCCGACCTGTGACCGTCTCATTGTCCCAGGTCGGCTAGAACTATGAGGTGAGTGGAAATCACTCATGTCATAGTTCTCCTTTAAGCTAAGCGGATGAAGTTTTGGTCGTTCTCCGTTCTCCACTATGCATCATAGACAATCACAATCTACTTTTTTTTTTTTCCTCTATAAATACATATTGGCACTGCTGATCTCCATCAACCTTTCAGCTACTTCTTGTCCACGTGTATGTGCTCTAGCATCAGCTTCACATCATTGACTGGCTTTTCTGATGGTGACAACGCTGGTCCATGTTTGTGCATTGTGTCCGTATGGCTCCTTGTATTCTCAACCAGGGGTGCATGTAACAGGATGACGAGCTAGAAACACTGTCGTGGAACAGTTGTCATCCAGTAACAGGAAGTTCCTAAACAGAGAACTTCATGGCAGAATCACCTGGTATTATTTAATGAAATCTGCAAATGTAAAAAGTTTGAAAACCGCTTTTGAAATTTATATTAACATGCAACGCTTGTGTGAGATTTAGTGATTGGGTTTAGGTCTACTTTAAAGCATGGATATTTTGGGGCTAAAGAAAACGTGTTGGTGGTAAGAGTACACTTACACTATTAGGGATGCACCAAAATGTGGCCGCCGAAACATATCGGCCGAAAATGGCACTTTTGGCAAAATGCTGAAAATACTATTTTTTTGTCCCCTCTGACACAGCGCAGCATCTAGCAGGGAGGAGAGAAATGTTGAGGCAGCCTCCTGTGACAGATCAGGATGGAGAGCGGTGTGGGCGGGGACAGCTGTCACAGAAGGCTGATAGGAGGAATCGGCTGTCATTCTGTCAAAATAGACCAAGCCCTTCATGCACTGCCCACTCAGCCTCCTGTGACAGCGAGCGAGTACAAGCAGTCAACAATCAGCTGATCGCTGACTGCCTGTAAATAATAGAGGACACGGTAAGGGGAATTTATCAAAATCTGGAGTAGTGGCCCATGGCAATAAGTCAGCTTCTCTCTTTCATTTTCAAAGTTTAACTGAACAAACTAAAGAGAAGCGGATTGGTTACCATGAGCAACTGCTCCAGATTCTGTCCGCTCCAGTTTTGATAAATTCCCCCCAGTGTGTTTACTGTGTCCCCATTTATGAATGAACAGGAAGTGCTCTACATCACTTCCTGTTCCTTCATGATTGTGGACATATTAAACATATCTCCTACGAGTTATGAATGAACAGGATTCTGTTCATTCATAACAGTGGCTGCGGAATAAGAGATTGAGGACCTTGTCCTCAATCCCTTTTTCTATTTTAAAAGGGAAATATCAGGAGTCTGTTTAGACCCCCAATAGTTCCTTAGAGCCCCCTACAGTAACGTTAAAAAAATAAAAATATTTTTTTAAAAATATTTTGGTTTCGGTCTGACAATTTTTTTTAGTTTCGGTTTCAAAATGTCATTTCGGTGCACCTCCTAGTATTTATGAATGTAATAACATCTTTTGATCTCTTTCAGGCGATTGGGGGTTGAATTGGGAAAGGCAGTCGTCTACCAGGAAGGCAATGGAGGTAAAAATTGTCTCTTTAGCACATCTCTTTTTTGTTCATGTTGTCGTTATTATTATTAGTGACCTTTTTAGCTAACTGTGCCTTTTGTGTTTGTAGAAACCAGAGTGGAAATCCAGGAATCAGTTCGTGGACAAGATGTATTTATTATACAGACCATCCCTAGGTGAAAAGCTCATGTACTTCGTCAGAAGTCAATTTTTTTAATGTAGTTTCGAGGGTGATTGTCATTAGTTTAATGTAAACCTGTAGTTAGACTTCTGATTCTGAAAATGCCAGCTGCCTGGCTCTCATTCTCCCATATTGGCCTTAGCACTTTGAAGCACCGAACTATCAACAACAGGCATTCTGACCTCATTTTGACTCTTATACATGTTCTTGATGAGTGGTTTCAATGTATTAAAGCAAGACACAGCCAGGCAGCCAATAGGTTCAGCAATGGCAGCCCTTTCAATTCTGTATGTACAAGTTTTCTCTAAGAATCATTCTAATACAGATTTAAAGATATGTTCAAACACCTTGTAGTCTCTAGAACTGGGGGAAAAAAATAATTCAGTTATAAAGTGTCAGCAGACGATGGCATCAGCCTCATAAACCTTACTACCATGGCAGAATGTCTGGCTGCTCTTACAGCACCGGCACTTCCTTAGTTCTGAAGCTGGCCCGCATCCTCCTGCACATTTCTTTTAGCCAGAGAGGCAACCTATCATAGTAGAAATGTGCAGTGCTGAGACTAAGCAGCAAGCACCAACTCTTCTTTGTCTATAATATTTATTATATGGTGACAGATTCACTTCTAATCCTTAAGCGACTGTTCACATGATTTTCAGGTGCGGATCTGCAGACGCAGTGCTACTCATGCAGTGCGTTTGTGACGCGTTTTCAGTCCGGATGCTGACAGCTCATTTTAATTTTTTTTCCAAGCCGTGGGGCTGTCGGTATGCAGATTCTTCCTCTGAGGTCACTTCCGCCCTCTCGTAACATCTACTCCCCAATGTGTATGTAAACCACTCACCACATTCTTTCTTCTGGGCACTACTGTACACTGAGTATTCATCATACAGCTCTGATGCTATATCTATCCACTTAAAATTTTTTTGATGCACATTTTTAAACTGCGTGGCGGGAGTCGTAGAGCGTTGGCGCATGCTCCATCAATCCGACGAATCGCTCAGTGTCCAGGACCATGTTAGCCATGACTGCTGGTTTTCCCTCTGATGCTCCACCACAACCAGGAAGTCCAACGATGATGACGACATAAAAAGTGGAGCAAGAATACATTTTTTCTTTTTGCTTAGCTGCATTGCGTTGCCTTTTCGACGTGTTCGTGCGTTTCCTGACCGGACAAAATATGACATGCAGTATTTTTTCAGTCAGGAACGGACTGCGCACGTGAGAACTGTAGCCCATAAAACACACGGATACATTGGGATGCATATTTAGTGCAGGAGCGTACTAATCTGGTCAGCATAGAATACGGACGTCGTGTGAATAGGGCCTAAGAATATAACTTTTTTTTTTTTTTGGCAGACATTCTAGTGCAGACATTAGCTTGTGTCAATCCTTCTGACTGCCACGTCCTTGGCTCCAAACCAAACTTTTTATATATTTTGGATGGAGGGGGGAAAGTTTACATACTTTTTTTCAGAGTTTCTTTTTATTGTGCTCTGTGTCTATGCTAAAGTTATTTCCCCCTTACTTTTTCTCAGGGCAGGAAGTCATGGGAAGGCTCTGCCAGTAAGGGCACAAGCAAAAACACTAGTAGAATGAGGAAGCATTAGAATTTGTATTGTTTTTATTGCGGTCTATAGCTTCCTGTCCCATTGATGACCTCGCCCTCCATGTCTTGCATGGGTGTGGAAGGGGCAGTGTGTGACAGTGGTGACACAAAAAAACAAATGCCTGTCACTTTTTGTCTCTTCCCCACTCTATCCAAAATATTCTGCAGTGGAGATGTAAGGTAACCAGGGGCTGTGTTTTTTTTTTTCTATAAAGCTTACTCAGTTTGTCGATTTAAACCAATTGAACAAGTGCTTAGCGGTATCCCAGAAATGTAAAGCCATTTCGCTATAGGAAGGCATAGAGTGCAGACACTACACTCCAACGTAAGCCTGATTTCTTTCCTGTCTACAGCTGTCGGTGAACGGGGATTAGAGCTAGCTTTTATTATCTCAGCCCAGTGCATGCTTCATATGCTTTAGTCTTCAAGGTCACAGTATTATTGTGGCAGGTGTGCAGATATGGATATCATACATTCCAATCTTACAGATTGTTGTCAGTTTTGGAGCTTTGTATATAGTATTAGAATGTGATAAAAATAATGTATTGTGTGTGCATAGAATGTAAATTCCATAGCAGAGTATTGTGAGCTTCTAAATGAATGTTTTTATTTTCTTAACTCCCCGTCTAGAGATGTGAACACAGCAGTCATGGAGCTTTTGATCATGACCTACGCATTGAAGACCTCATGTGCCAAGAACATCATTGGGGTCATTCCCTATTTTCCTTACAGCAAACAGTGCAAAATGCGCAAGAGGGGATCCATTGTATGCAAGCTGCTAGCTTCAATGCTGTCCAATGCCGGTACGATACTGTGTGTTATGTGTAAACATAGTTGGTCACTTAAATGTAATCTTTGAACTGTGTGCACTGTTATGGTTTTCAGTCTGAGCAATTCTGGGATTATCACCTTCCAGGCGTGATGTGTGCAAAACACTCTTCAGGAAATTTTTCCAGCAGTGATAAAAATTTCAGTAATGATTGACCTTTTGCAATTGCTTCTATGGTGAAAAGCTGCACAGGTGATGCCTACTAGCTACATGCACTGAAGTGCTTGCAAATTATGGCTAAGTTGGGAACATAAACATGCAAAACCTGTGTGGAATGTATGTGTGGTATAGGGCAGGGATCGGCAAACTCTGGCCCTCCAGCTGTGGTGAAGCTACAAATCCCATCATGCATTGGTCTCAGACAGTGGCTGTGGCTGTCCGTCTTGCAATGCCTCATGGCATTTGTAGTTGCACCACAGCTGGAGGCTTGCCTACTCATGGTATAGTGAATGATTCTTCAGTTAATAAGACTCATTCAGGACAAAGTGACAGAGTCTCATAAAAAACAGCCGTCCCACTTGCACTCGCCTGAACGGGCAAAGTGACAGTCTCAATAAACACACCTGTCCCACTAACTCACCTGGGCAAGTGGCTGAGTAATTGTAAAGAGGAACTAAACTCTGGAAACTGTGCCATGAAAGGCAAACAAAGGACCAGTTACTGGAATTGCCTTTGATCTCCCTGCAGCTGATCTTTTCCCCATTACTCACTTACCATGTCTTGTTCTACACCGTGTATCTATGTGGACTCAGCTATCTTGATAGAGGCAGGTTTCCTTTTCATCATGTCAGAGCCTCCAGCAAGGTTAACACTGAGCAACATATGGTAGTGACATCACCGAATCTCACTACAAATATCTTGAGACTAAGGCAGTGGTGCCTTTATATGTTCACACAGCAGATGTACAGTTATGAGGCTGTAGGCTCCGAAGTGTCTAGGCACACGCGCATACCATGAAGTGCTACGCTTTTTT